CAAAAGACGGTAGTGAGTCTTGGCACTTCGGTCTTCAAAAGGCTTTAGGACCAACCTTCCACGTCTATATCCGACGTCTGGCTCCCTTGAGGCATTTGCACCTCCGACAGGGAATCGTCCGGCCACAAAGCACGGAATAATTTCACCATGGATTTTTATGAGAGCCGATGTAACTCTTTGGCCGCCTCTAGGATGTATTTCATAGACGTGCAGCCGGGCTCGTCGAATTTCCTTGGCAGGTCAGTTGCACATAATATAGTAAATGTTTTACGTAGAAGTCGAAAGAAAGACTTATGCTGATACAGGTAAGATACTTACCTGCAAGAGCTTCACATGCCCACCTGGTCTCCTCCTTGGAGGCGGCCAGCTGAGATTTTAAGTCTTTGAACGGTTGATCTTTCTCCACCTGGAGTTGATTACGCTCCTCGATCTTCCTGGTATGGACCCAACGACCAACTTCAAGCTCGCCAATAGTCTCCGCTGCTAATAAATAGTATATAGATTAACTACCCAACAAAGCCCCTAGTCAATAGTCGTCCGGGAACAAAACTTACCACGAGCCTCACGAGTGAATTTCTTGATGTCCGCCACATCCTTTTGAGAATCGGCAAGGCTAGCCTTGTCTACCTCAAGCTCCTTCAGGAGTTTTTTGTTCTCTTGTCGAGAAGTCTACATCAAAGAAAAGGCACTGTTAGCCAGTTAAAATCGATACTTAATTCGGCCACCAGTGCCCAAATTAAGGCTCGGGAGTTACTGGCTTCGCACTTATACAAATACATGCCATTAAGCACCATGAGATATTTCGATCCCCTGGTCCGGTACTGGTACCCGACCAGTGGCTCGGGGGCTACTGCACCTAGCGTTCTTCTCAAAAGCTCCTCGGCTATGCAAAAGGGTATAAGGGTAGACCTTGCAAAAGCCCTTGACAAATTTGTGTTTGGTGTCCGCGAGCCTAAAATACGCATACACCTTGAGGGCCACTAGGTTGACCAAGAACTCTAGATTCATAAAATTAGCATTTACTTGCAAACCCACCGCTAGCACGTCGACAGCCTCTTTAAGCCCCATGCAAGCAACTCTGAGGTGGGCATCCATTGTTCGGAGGGCGTTGAATTCCTAGTCATTAAAAATAGGTGACCAGTGAAGTCCTCACCCGATGATGCAACATGGTTTGACCTCAGAGACGATTGCGAAATCCGCCACTGAAGACTCTAGTTGAGGAGCGCCGCGAGGTTCCTCGAAGGGTTGTGGCTGTTTGGAAGCCGCCTTGGGGATGGGGACATGAGTGCCCAAGACCTCGGCAGACGGCGCAAAGACAGAAGGGGGAGCCGTGCAAGTTCATAGGTAAAATTGCATAAATAAAATGAGATGAGGAAGGTTTAAAAGATTACAGGGAAAGTAATACTTAGGCGCCAGAGGAAGGTGGTTCATGTATTGAGTCCTTGGCGACGGCGGCCTGGCCAATGGTCGGCCCAGGATTCATCTTCGCTCAAGCCCCTTGGGAGCCGAGGTGCTCTTCTAGCGCTTAGAGCGACGACCCTTGTTAGAAGGGGTGAAGATGCTCGCAACCGGTGCGGCAGCAGTGATGGTTCATTTTCACATAGAAGGATGAAGGGCAGCGACCGCGTTTGAGGAGGGCTGACCCCAGGCGATCAATAATAACGGCCACCTCGGCACCATCAATACTTTCGTGATAAAAAAACCATCTTTGAAGATGAGGGTTATTTGAGGGTCCTCGACAAAGCCAGGATCTTGGTCCCGCATATGACTCTCCGGCTGCGGAGATGAGGAGTTCACGGTCCCGGCGCTTCCAGTTCTATTGATAGTTTTGTTCAAATATGTTAAAACTAGTCGTGTGCCCCGCACATTTGGCTGGCTAGGTTGTTTTGTTTATATCTTCATGTATACTATATTATACACATAATTTAAATTTTTAAATTGGGTACGTTTCTTATTATAAATGTCATAGTACCTTTTTTGTTATGCTTGGGAATTCTATTATGCAGCTTCAACAAAAACATAACTCTTGTTTTGGAGATCAATTAGAGATGTTTGCTCAACTCTAAATTGTTAGAGTACTACTCCCTCCGTCTCGAAATAAGTGTCTTAACTTTGTATGAACTTTATACAAAGTTATACTCCCCCGTTCGGAATTACTTGTCGCAGAAATGGATGTATCTAGATGTATTTTAGTTCTAGATACATCTATATCCGAGACAACTAATTTCAAACGGAGGGAGTACTTTAGTTGAGACATTTATTTTAGGACTAACATTTATTTTGGAACGGAGGGAATAAGCACCAATCCCTCCGTCCCAAAACAAAACAAGTGTCTTAATTTTGTACTAACTTTAATACAAAGTTGTACTTTGATTAAGACACTTATTGTGGGAGAGAAGGAAAGCACTACTCCCTCCATCCAAGTGTCAACTTTATATACAGCGTTTTAACTTTGTACTCCCTCCGTCCAAAAATACTTATCATCAAGATGAATAAAAGGGATGTATCAAATATATTTTAGTTTTAGATACACCTTTTTTTGTCTATTTTGATGACAAGGGTATTTCCGGATGGAGGGAGTATCACTTATTTTAGGACGGAGAGTATATCAATTATCTTTTTGAGATGTTTCTTATACTGGTTAAATGGAGAGCTGAGTTTTTTGTCTGCAAATGAGTGAGTGATCGCCACAGCAAAAGAGCCAAGTTTTTTGTCAGCAGATCGGTGTATTAAGGAAAATGCCCCCTACAAAAAGACATAACATATCGCACAAACGGATTTTATTTCTTAACAGCAAATAATCCAGGAGGGTGGAATCTCTACTACTATTAAACAATCGAGTTGTGGCAGAAAGATTACATCTCAACCATGCATCCACCTCTTTCAATGGACCGGATTGCCTTAATGTTGTATCACATCATTTACCATAATCAATTATCAACAATTATCATATGATCTACGCCATCATAATTACGCAGTAATTACCATGATCTCGCTCTAATCTAGACTTATTTTAATCATATCAATTAGCAAGAATTACCGTGATCTACGCCATCATATATTTGTTTTTCTGAAACTCAGCCTTGTGTGATGCGTACATAGAAGGAAAATATCAATTAACAATAATTACCATGATCTACGCCATCATGTTTTTTAAAACTCAACCTTGTGTGATGTGTACATAGAAGGAAAATATCAATTAACAATAATTACCATGATCTACGCCATCATGTTTTTTAAAACTCAGCCTTGTGTGATGCGTACATAGAAGAAAAATATCAATTAACAATAATTGCCATGATCTACGCCATCATGTTTTTTTAATCAGCCTTGTGTACTGCCTACATAGAAGGAAATAAGAAAAAGGCATGGCCCATGTTTGCATGTAGGCAGATAATAACGTGGAAACCAAATCTCTCGTTTCCTGTTTGTTCGGATCACATGATCGATCAGACCCTGACCTTGATTCTGACCGTTCCTTGAGTTCGGTCACTTCCTTCTTTTTGTTCACCTGTTTGAGTGTTCGTCGTCTTCGCAGCTCGACTCTTGATTTGACTCTCCTGGTCTTCTCGTCCCAAGGAACGACGGCAACGTGGGCCTGCAACGCTACACGGCGACGACAGGTACGAGCATGTCTCCTTACACAGTCGCATCCAGCGCCCTATGCCACTGAAAAGGAGCATGTGTCATTTGTCTTTCCTATCATGTAAAAACATGTTTATTTCGCTTAAATTAGAGTGAAAACAGGGTAGATTTTTGGTTAATGTGATATTCTATTTTTATCAGATGGCTTGAAATTTCTTTAACTTACTTTTAGTGTTAATGTCATGTACCATCATATTTATTTCCAAACTGTGGCGTGAGGTTATATTGCCAGTTTATGTCATGTTCGGTTTACAAATATATATTGCCAGTCCGTGCCTTTAAGCTTTGTTGGTAGATTCTGTCATTTACAGTGCATAAAATCTATTTCTACTTTTATTGTAAACTAGACTTGTACACAGTTTGACATTTTCAGACATTGTGCTTACAAGTGCTTGCTTTCGCTATATTTATTATAGATAGTGTTCTAACAGATTTTATAAAGTATGTCGATAGTTGGATCATGTATCCTTAACTTGATAGACAAGTTCAAAGGTTTATATTCTTCAGAGTGCATAACTGGCACGCTAGGTCCTAACTTCAACTGCTTGCATAACCAACATTCAGTTCAAGGAAGCTTCAAGTCTTACCTTGGAAATTTCTTTTACCTCTTCCAAAATTCTTCAGATCTAACAGCCCGGATTAATCTAATACAGCACCACGTTAGCGCTTAGCAAAAACCCTCCGGCGGACGTACTTTGCCAAAAAATCGTCCGCCAAGAATATGTGTTCCGTCAAAGCGTAATCAGCTCCTTCTCAAACCGATCGAAAACCATTGCCGGCTCCTTCCTGTTCTATCTTTCCATGTCCATCGCATCCTCCTAGGTTAGATCGCCGCCGCCAGCATACGGCCGCAGATCAAGGCCACAACTCTTCTCTCCGGCTACCCCTGACGCCAACCCACACGCACATCCACCGGCCCGATGACAACAAGGACGAAGTCCGGCATGCAGCGCGCCAGCACAGGAAGGCCTCCTTCGCTAGCGCCCCCGCCCAATGCGGCCTCCCTCGCCGGAGCCCCCGCCTAGCGCGGCCTACTATGCAGTCTGCATCACGCCCATCGCCACCTCCCACGCCGGCGCCCCTGCCCAGCCGTTGCAGCCTCCATGGAGTCGCCGCTGCCACCGTCTTCATCTTAACAGCTACTCTAGGGGGAATGACCGCATCATGCTCAACGCCGCCTCCGTCGCCAGCACCGTTGCCCAGCCGTTGTAGCCTCCATCGTACTACTCTGGACTTGCCGCCGTTGCCATCGTCTTCCCAAGTTGTGCTTCTTGATTACAGCGGTCAAGGTGGTTGCAGTGGCCGTGCGGTGAAGGAAAGGGGAGCTCGAGGCACCGGAGAGGTGGAAGGGGATCCTAGGTGGAAGAAGGTGGTGGCCACACATCAGCTATCGTCCTCCCCATGCCATCACGCCAATGTTCTGTTGGTGCTGATCCCGCACCACGGTGCACACAGTGTGTTTGAGGTAATGCCCGCTAGCACATACAGTAAATTTATCTTTTTTCTTATTTTATGATAATAGATCCTAAATTAATCTTTGATTACCACTGTCGCTAGGGCCTAGGGGACTCGGATTTTTCATGCATGAAATGTTTTGTTTTTAGGAATGTAGACTCTAAAATGGAGCAGACCACCCGCCCGTCAGATCTGTGCAACTTACCGATGGCCCGTCTTGAGCCCCGGCCCAGGCGGCCCTCCTCTGCTGTGATGCGGTCTTCACGCTCACTGACGTTAGTTTAATTAAGAGTCTGTTTCGGTGTGTTAGAAGTGCATGGTAAGATGATGTGCACAAATAGCATTAGAAGAGTGGGCATATCCACTGGTTGGTATTTTTTCCTTCATAAAGTGGTGATGGTTTCATTCAAGGTCTGTAGGTGCACTGCATGTATACTTCCGTGAACAGCAAAAAGCAAAGAAAATTTGACTTTTTGTTCATCTGCGTGCACTTCCTTTGCATATATGCTGATCAAAGTTTAACTTCAAAATGACAAGAGTATAACCCACATCGACATTGTGTATAGTAATTTTTGGTGCCAACAAATGCTATATATAATTTCGCAAATGTGTATGCTACACCCATAGTAACAAATCACATCTCAAATATCAGCGAGAATACAAAAGGCTGGATATGATATTGGCTCCATGTGTACCATGCGATCTTCTACTATCATATTTGGTTTATTTGATTTCCTTCAGTTCTACTTTAGTCCTTTGTACTAAACCTGATAAGAGCTGCAAGAACAAACTCATAAATGGTTGTTCGACTTCGTACATATTACAACAGAGTTGAATGTATAGGCCATAGATGTATTCTTATTCTTGATCGATTGACTGTAAAGCTATCAGATTTATTCTGTATGAAACTCTGGCCTACCAGTTTCAAAAGATGAAGAATATAACCCACCAAATTATTTGCTTATTCTTGTATTTTGCTCAAGCTATCTTAATTTCTTCCTTTGATGCTCGCTAACTATCAAGGTGTGTGTTAATATAGCAATGCAGATGTGCTATTTTGGCTATATTATACTAACCTCATTAGTTTCATGTGCCTTCTGTTTATCATATTAGTTAGAATTACTATATCATGACGGGATCCTTTTTCTCCACGCACGGGAAGTACTTAACTTCCTCTTTGCAGAATTGACATGCTATGTATTACATGCAACAGGAGATTTATTTCTCAAGGTTATACGTGCGTTGCACGTGCACACTTACTAGTTATACAAGCGACCAAGAATTTATTGTCACACACTGTTACAATGCAGAGACATGCAAAGAAAGACAAACCAAAGAAAACAACAGCAACATCTTGCTCATCTATTAGTATAGGAGAGCTGTTGACGGATGCCTTGATTCATTCGTCCTGGGTTTTCTCGGAAGTTACCAGCACTCGTGGGCTGACATTGTCCTGCATATGAGATTGCAGAGAGGAAGGGGACAAGAAAAGGGCAGGAGCATGTTTGTTTCGCCTAGATTAAGAGGGTTCCATATATTAATGTAAAAGCAGCGCAGGCGACAACTGTGGCGACTGCAGAGCAAGTTACTCATGCTCCATCACTAAAACACAAGTATTTTACAATTTTACACTACTATTGTCACATTAACATCTATTCAAACTGTTGACAGGAAAGGGGGGAAACTAAGCATACCAAAATCTGATTTCTCCAGTAATTTTACATGTCTTGTCTAGCCGCAACCAAAGAAACTGAAATAATGGGACAAGGGTTCCTGCAATCAACAAATCAACATAGTTACCTCTTTGAACGACGTCTTCTATGGAATCTTATCATGCCATGAGTTATATGAGAACGTCCTAAGATCTAGGTTATGAAGCAGGCTAACAATGAATAGTACCATGGAAGTGACAGAAACACTCAAAGATATTAAGAATCACAACCCTTCAAACACAACAGAAAGAATGTCCCCAACCAAAAGGAAGCAGTATTTGATGAACTAATATTGCTACAAAGCATGTATATGCACAGAAGCAGTATTTGATCAACTAATATTGCTACAGAGCATGTATATTGCATGTAAATCAACTATCAACTAAGAGTGAGATAACAAAGGAGTATCACATTCAGCGTTATTGTCTAGCTCCTCTAGGTCACGTATAATAAAAATATAACCACAGCTGAATGTGTATTAGAATACAGGACAAATTACGCTCTCAGTTCCTTGTATAGAAGGCAAAAAATATGGTCTCGAATATAGTATAGTCAAGTTGCAAGGTCAGGGTTATATGGTATGTTCTCCAAATCATTTTTTGCATTTTTGGTCGCAGCATGAAATTGCACAGATACTCACCAGCTAGGCCCACCTAAGAAATATTACTGGGGCCAGATCGACATTTGGAATGGACAATAGGCCCCAAATGCGACCTCTGGAGACCAACAATATTACCATCAGGTGCATTCATGTAAACTGCACCTTTGTACATCCACTCTTCAGTTTCATCGCTGTAGAAATCCTCAAATGGCTCTTGACATAAAGCACATGTTGTTTGGTTTTCATCGGCAGGAACAGCCATTTCTTTCTCTTCATTTCTGTCAGGGATTGGTTCCGTGAGCTCGAAAGAAGGAACACCATCATTTCCTACCGTTTCTGCTGCTCTTAACCATTCCCCCACGGTGACAAAATATTTACGTGAAGATTGCTTGCGATTTTTGGAATTTCTGTTTTTCGTAACATGCCAATCCATATGAGCACGGTGCTCTTCCTGGCATTTAAAACGAAGGCCACACGTTTTGCATTGCCTGTGGAGATCCTGATACAGAGCATTAATGACAGACTCGTTCCGCACCTTGAGGTCTACATTGAAGTCAACTCCAACAGAGTCCTAAATGAACATGTATACATATACAATAAAAATCATTGTATTAACTGCATAACAAAATAATATTAGATAGCTGTAACGTAATAAGATGCACACATGCATGAGAAGTACCTGAGGTTGACTAGAAGGCTCCAGTGTAATTACACCATGATTCATAAGGTTACTTAAAATTCCAGAGAAATATGTTGTAGGCCCACCAACTTGTGATGAAGATGGACCCATCTGCAACGAAGCAGGAGGTAGGCCACGATGTAATGGAGGCAGAGCAAAACTAGACACTGACGACACACCATAGGGTTGCACAGTAGGTGTTACAGAAAAGGTGTTTGGTAGAGGTGTAACTGGTGGTACTGCTGCACTACCTCCTTGTCCTTGGAATGGATTTTGGGGGGGAGCTATAGGCATGCTGGGGGCAAAGCTTCTAAATGCCTCCGGAGGATGGGAATGGGAATGAGGATGAAACTGTGGCACATCATGAGGCTGAGATTGATTTCCAAAATTTGTACCTTGATTTTGTTGACTCGATGACAACAAATCTGGGTGCTGGTATGGTGGTTGAGCTAAGTTACCGGTACTTACAGTTTTCCGATCCAATGCATCATATAGATGCCGAGGAACAAATACAGATGAATTGACTCCATGCCTGATAAATGGCCTAACTTCAAGACTATCTGTTGCACCTCTAATATCTTTTGTATTATGTGGTGGTTGACTATGATGATGAAGAGGCCATTCTATGGGAGCAGGAGCAGGCGAGGACCTATTAGTCAAGGGTAAGTCTACATGCATAGCATCATATGGACCACCAGTGGCCAACATCTTGACAGGCATTTCAACATCAGTGGGAAGTGCCAACCTATTCAGTGTTGATGAAGGTTGAGGTGCTTGTATTCGCAAAGGCAGGCCATTAGTCTGCTGCCACGGTGGAGCTGACATAGCAAGAATTCTTCCAGGATCAAGGGTATTCTCAGAACTATGGTACTCTGAAATAGCTCCATTTTGCAGACCAAAATTGCCTGGATATCTCCTACTAGTGGCTATGTCAACATGCTGCAAAAAAGACCAACGCTAAGTCAACAGGTAGTAAAGTGGGTCCACCTCAATACAACATTAGCTTATAAGTTGAACTGATAAAGGATTAAATATTGATAAGTTGCATTTAAACATTATGGCAATGGAGTAATATATTCCAGGACTGCACCATCCTTGCTACTGGTTTCTCTGAAGTCAAAACTGAACACTGTCCAAGAGAATCAAATGAGGTAGCCCATGACACTGCTAAAAGTTGTTTCCTTTCTCTTGAAACTAGTGTTTGGGATGAAGACCCTACTGGTTGCACTATGCCCATGATGATAAACGACATAACTCCATTTTGAGAAGCAATAAAGATAGCCACAAGGCATTCCCTCAAAAAAAAGTGCACTATTCAGAATTCAAACTTCAGAAGGCTACTTTGGAATCTACTACGCATGGTGTATGCACTCCTGAGTGTTAAAAAACTTGTTTGCAGACAGAATATATGCATTTCCATAGCATTCAAGTTCCAAAACCCAAATGAAGAAGTGCTGAAGTGGAAAGTCTGTTTTGTTCAAGTGATCCCTAACATTGTATGCAGGTAGTGAAGATGCATATGGACAAATATGTAGCCCATCAAAAGGAAAAGAATCACCATGAAAGAAAACATATAAGCCATACGAGACAGATACCCTTTTCAGTCATAAAATGTAACAACAATATCTTTGTACATAATTAGATTAGCTGCCAGAAATCTATGATTTGTTGCAAAGAATACTTCCACAAAACATAACTGTATAATTAATCAAATTTACAAACACACTAATAAAAATTGCTGATCTAGGTTGTATAAAACTGTCATCATGATAAAGTGAAAAACAAATTATATCTCAAAGCAGGGGTTAAAAGATCAATAGAAGAAAAATCATCAAAAAAGGAGAAGTGATAGAAGGTATGAGAAGTGTTGTGTCGATGTTACTATTCATTGTAATAAAAAAAAGGTCAGACAAGCGTACACCAGTCCTGTCTTCGAGATTTAGTGCTGGTCGAGGAGCCTGGCTTCGCCAGCTGCGCATCCCAATATCAGAATCCAGCTGCCCAGTGTTTGGCCCAGGAAATCCAGCTCTCAAAGTTTCAGAGGAAGGTAAAGACAGAATGTTGTTTCTATTTCGGGACAAAGTTGGACGCATATCCTCCCAAGTATACTCCTCTTCCTCTGAAGTGAGCCATTTTTGTGCACTGGATCTACTTGCCATGCCATTTGATTCTAGCCGTTGCATCTTGGGAAGCCTATCATCAGCATCATTGCCTTGAGAATTTCCGTAGGCATCAATAAGTTCTCTTGCACTTTGTTTCCTATATTCTTCATCAAGCGTGCTCATCGAAGGCCGTTGTGCACTATCCTCAAAAGCATGTTGCCATTCAAACCAACCATTTCTATCAGGCAATCTTCTAGGATCATGCCCCAATACAGAATGAGACAGCTGCGGCATCTCTAGTGGTCTTTTTGGGGATGCATTCCTAGGGAGCACATCAGGAGGTGGTGATCTGGACATATCTCTTCTTATCAATCCAATACGTGATTGAAATGTTTCTTGTTGATCAGGATTTTCAGTATACGGTATCATAGATCTCTGTCCATATGATTCCAGGAAAGATTATAAGCAACACTTGCGTTATAAGTAGAAATGACATGCTACATTGTAAGTTATAAAACTGAAAGGGTCAAATGCATTCTGAAATATATGGATACCATTTCATCTAAATAAATCTGAAGGACCTTGCATTCTCTTGATGGAAGACATCTAGCTAATACTGAAAGTGAGCTGTATCAACCCAGCAACAAGAAATGGTAATAGGCTAGGAGCTATCAGAACTTCAGATGACCTAGAACAGAGGAAGAGTTTACAAATAGAAATAGCACATGATTGTCATCTCAAATAAATGTATTAGCCCCTAGGAAAATCTATAAAAGAAACAGTCTCCTTGTGTCTACCAATGAAGGAGCACAATCAGACTACTGCTGGGTCAGTAAGCAGTATGTACGTAACTAGCCTAAAGCAGGTATTCTGCTAGACTACTAAAAATGAAAAAAAAAATATACCAGCACACCAAGATGCTGTCATCAGGGTTAGCCTGCTCCTAGCCCTTGGGAGTTGGAGCCACAACTGCGCTCAGACAAGCTCCTCCCAGCTGCCAGCAATGGCCCTCGTCAATATTTGTTGTGACCCAAATCATGATTTGAGTTCTGGTGCATGTTTGTTAGGAGGTTTTTTGTACTTCTCATTATTGCGTAGAGATCACCAAGGGAGATTGAACTAGGAGGTGAGAGAGCAAATGTAGCACCCACCGCAATCGTCACCAACTCAAATACTTCCAGTGGTATCAGGAAAGTAACATCATACCTTTAGCCCATCGACATCACCATGGATCCTACGCCAACACCCGAAATGCCAATTGGACCAATGCCTAGAGCACGGGCCCGGCCCATGGAATCCGAGGTGAATTCACTCCTCTTCGAACTTCCTATGCCTTCCCATGAGACATGGCTACTACCTACAACCGGGACTCTATGCATACTCAGGTACCAAGGAATTGACCATGAAGAAGCGAGGGGAGAAGGCCAAGTCATAGTGGAGGAGAAGCGAGGAGACAAGGAAGAAATGCAGCCGAAACTATAGCAGCCGAACGTCCGGACGACTGCGGCCTCCAACGCGGACGTCCGACCTGACCCAGGACAATCCAGCTTCCAGCCCGCACGTCCGGCTCCTAGAGATCGCTCCATGCCCGACCACACCAGCTGGAGCAACGCCTGCATCAGCGGACAGACTATCCGCCATCCAACCCAGACGTCTGACCCCTGCCTGCGTGCAACTCAGGCCAAGAGGTCATGTACCCCTCTCCTACCACCCTCCTTTGCCCCTACACTATATACTGTACCCTGGACTCCATTAGGGTTAGCAAAGCATATAACTAGACCTTGAGAGAGCTTTGGTCATCATATCTCCTCCTAGCCTCCCAAGGTATCCTAAGAGAGAAGGATTCACCAATTGGAGCACCAAGGCCTCCTTTCCCACTAGGATTTGGAGAAGAACGTCTCTCAAGGCCCCACCTCTCTTAGATGTTTTGGAAGAGCTTTTACTTCCTATTTGTTGCTTGTGGATCCTAAGGGAGAAGGATTCACCAATTGTTTGGGTGTTTGTAAAGTACATGTGTGATGAAACTTGTTCAATCTAGTTTATCCTCTTGTGTTTCTTGAGCTATTTCTGTTTTCTCCCCTTGCTGTGAAGATTGAGCATCAAATAAGGCTTTGCCCCACATCATATGCTCTCCTACACAAGAACTTGGAATGATGAGACTGTATGTGGGGTGCTTGACTGCTTGTAATGCTTTGCTTATGACCTTGATGGCTCGGTTTACACTGTTATGCTACCAAAATTTATAATAATGTAAGTTGGAAGCCCCAACATACTCGGTTATGTGGATTTCCAAGACAAGGCAGGTGATATGTTGCATACCTAAGAAGGGTGAAAAATGCAAAAGGTCTGACTTGCAAGTTGCTACCACCAAGTACTCCGCTACTGACAATACGATTTAATTTGTGCAATTTAGTTATGGATGAAAGCATGGAAGCACTACCAACTACTCAAAATGAGAAGAGTACAACTTCTCTAGTTCATACACAGAGAACGGCTCCTAGGTTTGGAAGCCAGGCTAGGAGTAGAACACAAAGGAAAAGATATGACAAAAGGAGCAAAAGGGCAGATGGAATACTGAATACCTGGAGCTTTGAAGAAGTGGAAGGAAATCCCCGCAAACTATTTGTTGTTAACCCATTAATATGATCCTCCGCCACGTCAAGCATTTGCCTGCCTCGAGTTGCTAGCTGATCCACCTGATTATTAAAAATTACTGACTTCAACAATTAACATACTTGAATTCCAAAAATTACACCCAACTATTGGCCATTATTGAACTGTCCCATTTAACGGATATAACAATATTCTTACCTTGGTACCATTCTTGAGTTGGTGTTGCGCTTCTAGATACTTTGGATTTACATGGATGCCATGAGATGGCCTAGGAGATAACGACTCTGGCTGTCGCGGAATAGTCGTTGTGGCAGGACGCTTATTCTCTGAAGGAGAAAACTGAAGCTCATCCTCGATCCCTTGAAGGACAGAAGAAGGGAACACTTGCGACCAGGTACGGAAGAGGTGTCGCATTGCAGGATGCTGTTTGGGATGAACTTCCCTGTATGCAAAACAAAATACCTTCTGCAATCGAGTGGCAAAGTCCTCTACATATTCTCGTCCTATGTTCTTCACGATACTATCTAGCAGATACAAAGATGGCAATTTCTGCTCGACTGGCACCTGCAAGAACATTGCAGAATGATGCCTATCATGCAAACAAACCTTAGGTGTAGAGATAATTGATAGAAGCAAGCATGTGAAATAAAAATTCTACCAGGATTAACTCTCATATTTTTCCATCTATAACTGCATAATGCCCTCTTCAGAAAAGAAAAAGGAAACATTGTTCTATCACCAAACATAAATAGACAAAATCATATCTGCCAAGTAACATCTAATTAGTTCACATCCAATCCAGTAATCCCCATAGTTTTAAAATACTATTCCCTAACACTTCCACTTCAGGCTGCAATCCTATTTTACAAGTTGACGACAACAGGACATCTGAACAGAATATAGTACCCCAGAAAACCAGCTTTCATCATAACTAACTGTCTCCACTGCTAATTTTATTCAGTTTCACCCTATCAAAAGTTCCTAGCCAAAATAGCAGTTGCCGTATCTGGCAACCAAATTATGCAACCGCAATGCCTATGCACAAGGTGGGTTTCAACCACATTACCAACTATGCACCCTATATCAGAAAAATAATACAGTATTAAGAATAGACAGAGCAAATTAGATCACAGTGTATACAACTCAAATTGCATTTATTTGCTTCAAAACTCCTAAATCCAAGTCACTGTGATTACTAAATTCTAGCTGTCGAATTTGTAACCAGCAACGTATCTACAAACAGTAACTCTGAGATTGCACACTACATGAGCACCAACGCATCTAAATGTTTCGCATGAAAATGCAGTGAACACACTATTCTAGGGACAAAGGGTGTGTAAAGGACATCAAGCCCAAACTTTAACAGTAGTTTCACGAAACTTCTCAACTTTGAGCAAACCCTAGCACCAGCGGAAATCTACAAGTAAGCATCGGCCGAATAAGCACAGCAAGCAGCTCCTCATGCAGACCTAGCCCTCAAATCCCAAGCCTTTCTTTCTCAAAATACAACATGACCGCCCTCGGGAAAAGCATGGAAGGGAGAGCAACCACCTCAAGGATGCGGGCGCAGATGACGTCGGCGATGCCCCTGGCGGCGAGCGCGGCGTGCTGGCCCGCGATGATGGTAAGCTCGGTGATGATGGGCTTGCAGTTGAAGGTGAGCTCGGCGAGGGCCTCCTTGTAGACGCCCACCACCGCGGCCGCCCCCGGCTCCTCTCCCGCCTCCTCCCGCAGCCGCGCGCGGAACCGCTCCACGACCTGGCCCACGACTGGGGCCGCCGCAGCGGCGGAGGCCATAGGGAGATCTAGGGTTTCGGGGGAAAGGGCGGCGTGGGCTAGGGTTTGGGAAGATGGCGACGAGGAGGCATGCGGAAGCGAAGCAAAGCCAAGCCAAGCCGGGAAGGAGTTGGATTGATTTGGGATTTGTAACACGGGACGATCGTCTGATCCTTTTCCCGATCGTCTTCGACCTGCCGTAATTTAATCCCGAGTAAGAGCAATGTTTGCTCCCAAGCTAGCCCCACCAAAAGTTTGGAAATAAGCGCATGATCATTTTTTTGGCGAATTGACGATCTCTATTTTCATTTCAGTATTAAAAATATCAAAAGTCTCCTAAAAAATAATCAAACGTCATGATGGCTCAACCTACCATTCTTCCCACTTATCATGATGGCTCAACCGATGGATCCTCCTCCCTCCCCACCCCTCCACCCCCACGCGAAAATAATCCACATATGCACGAGGGCACAACCCGGAAAAAAGGAAACTTCAGCAACCCATGCACACACTTCTAAATCTTGCCCCAACCCCTCGGCCTCGATCCCATCTCTCATCTAAAATTTATTGTCGCTAATGTGCTCCCACCCGATCCCATCTTCATTCCAAAATTTATTGATGTCGTTGTGCTTCTAGCCGACTCCACTCGCGTCCTACATACATCATCGTCCATGGCGGCCATGGAGACCATAGCGGCGGAGAAATAGTCATAACCCACCAGCGTCGTCGCCTAATTGTAGGGGAACCTGTCCACAACCTTTGTAACGATCCGAGACCGACGCTCCGGATGCCTTTCATGTTTTTGGGTTAGTCGTGTTAATTGCTTGCTTGTTGCATTTCATCATGGCATCATGCGCATTGTATTTGCATCCCTCCTTAATAATAAAGCACAGGTTGACTCCATGGGTTCATAGTCACAATACGCCTTCTTTCTGCGAATTTGCGTTTTCGATTTGAATTTAAAATATATACGCGAGGTGGTACTAATCTATCCCTAATAATAAAGTATGGATTGACTCTGTGGGTTCACCGTCACAATATGTTTTTTCCTGTGAATTTACGTTGATCGACCACGGATTGCTTCTTCCTCCGTAAATTTCGTTTGTCCGTTCGTCGTTTGATTTTTGGTTTCACCCGTAAAAGTAAATTTCGCCGGCGCACTGGCCTAGCGCGTACACTCAAGTGGATTCTCGGCCCAATAACAAGTGTGTTCCCATGGGGCCACTGTGACGCCCCCCGATTCGATTGTACACTAATCATACATGCAAGTGTGTACGATCAAGATCAGGGACTCACGGGAATATATCACAAGATAACTCTAAAAAAATAAGTCATACAAGCATCATAATTCAAGTCGGGGGCCTCGAAGGCTCGAATACAAATGCTCGATCATAGAGGAGTCAGCGGAAACAACAATATCTGAGTACAAACATAAGTTAAACAAGTTGCCATAAGATGGCTAGCACAAACTCGGATACAGATCGAAAGAGGCGCAGGCCTCCTGCCTGGGATCCTCCTAAACTACTCCTGGTCATCATTGACGACCTGCACGTAGTAGTAGGCACCCGCAGTGTAGTAGGAGTCGTCGAAGGTGGCGCCTGGCTCATGGGCTTCAGCATTTGGTTGCGACAACCGAGAAAAAAAAAGAGGGAAAAGATAGAGCAAAGCAACCGTGAGTACTCATCCAAAGTACTCGCAAGTAAGAATCTACACTACATATGCAATGGTATCAATGAAATGGGTAGTATTTGTGGACTGAACTGCAAAATGCCAGAATAAGAGGGGGATAGCTAGTCCTATCGAAAACTAAGCTTCTAGCGGCCTCCATCTTGAAGCATATAGAAGAGAGTAGCTGGTAAGTTCACCAAGTATCATCGTATAGCATAATCCTATTCGGCGATCCTCTCCTCTTTGCCCTGTGAGAGAGCGCTCACCGAGTTATATCTGGCACTTGAAAGAGTGTGTTTTATTAAGTATCTGGTTCTAACTATCATAAGGTCAAAGTACAATTCGGGGTCGTCTTTTTACCGAGGGACACGGTTATTCGAATAGATAAACTTCCCTGCAAGGGTGCACCACATTACCCAACAGGCTCGATCTCTCTGACCGGACACACTTTCCTGGGTCATGCCCGGCCTCGGAAGATCAACACGTCGCAGCCCTACCTAGGCACAACGGAGAGGTCAACAAGTCGGTCTAAATCCTATGCGTGCAGGGGTCTGGGCCCATCGCCTGTTACACACCTACACATTGCGTACGCGGTCGGTGAGCAGACCTGGCCTCCCTTATACAAGAGCAGACGTTCCAGTCCAACCCGGCGCGCACCGCTCAGTCGCTGACGTCAAGAAGGCTTTGGCTGATACCACGATGTCTAGTGCCAATAACTATTCCCGCGTAGTTGGTTAGTGCGTATAGGCTAGTGGCCAGACTCAGATCAAATACCAAGATCTCGTTAAGCATGTAATTGATGTAACCGCGGACGCCGACTAGGGCCAGGCCCACCACTCTCCTAGGTGGTCTCAACCTACCCTGTCGCTCCGCCACAAAGAACCTATAACACCCCGAGACCGATGTGTCAGGTGTCCTCCAATGATTCGTTGTTGTTGCCTTGTCATTGCTTGTGTGTCATGCATTGCATATCATGTCATCATGTGCATTTCTTTTGCATACGTGTTCTTCTTATGCATCCGAGCATTTTCCCCGTTGTCCGTTTTGCATTCCGGTGCTCCGTTCTCCTCCGGTGGTCTTTTCTACCTTCTTCTCGTGTGTGGGGATTAAACATTTCCAGATTGGACCGAGACTTGCCAAGCGGTCTTGGTTTACTACCGTTAGACCGCCTGTCAAGTTTCGTACCATTTGGACTTCGTTTGATGCTCCAACGGTTAACCGAGGGACCGAGAAGGCCTCGTGTGTGTGTGTTGCAGCCCAACACCCCTCCATTTTGGCCCAAAACCCACCTAAACCCCTTCCATCATCTCAGTCGTTCGATCACGACCGCGTGACCGAAAATCGCACCTTATTTGGACTCTCCTAGCTCCCTCTACCTATAAATATGTACACCCCGTTCATTTTCACGGACGAAACCCTAGCCTCTTCTCCACCGCGCCGCCGGACACTTCTCCACCGCGCTGGACAATGTCCGCCGCCGCCACCTCACCCGAACCAATCCGGAGCTGCCACGTCGCCCCGCCGCCGCTCCCCGCCACTCCGCGCGCGCCACCTGTCAGCGCCGCACCCTCCTCTCTCCTCCGCCGCCGCGGGCCCGCGCGGCCCAGATCCGGCCCGCGGGGCCCGAATCGCCCGCGCCTCCGTCCGACGAGGCCGCGCCATCCGCGCGAGGCAGCCGCCGCCGTCCTCGCCCCGCCGCCGCATGTCTTCATCGCCGGCCTCCGTCTCCGCCTTTCCCCGCCGGCGGCTGCTTCTCCCGCCAGTGAGCCGCCCGCTCTTGCCGCCCTGCACGTCGCGCTCCACCGCCACGGCCATGCACCACCGTGCCTCCCCGCAAGAGCCCGCCGCTGGCTCGGGTTCGCCAGCCTCCTCCACGCCCTCCTCCTTCTTCATCTCCGGCTAAGCTCCGGCGAAGATCCGGTCGGCTATAGTGTCTCCGTCCGTGCCTCAGTTCGCGCGCCGGATGAACCCTAGATCTGGAGGTCTATATTTTCACTAAGTCCCCGAAATTCCCTTGTTTCAAATGCTCATGTTCATCGTGCCGTAACTTTACATCCGTAGCTTTGTTTGGGGCATATAGCATATCAAAATGTTCGTCTCAGAGAGCACATCATTTCATTCCATTGCATCAT